TGTGCTGCTGTAGTGTGGATCCCCACAAAATGATGTCGTCCATATAAACTCTGACTCCCTCGATTCCTTCGATCATATGCTCCATGGTCCTGTGGAATATCTCAGGAGCTGAAGAAATTCCAAAAGGCATTCTGAAGAAGCAGTAACGCCCAAATGGCGTGTTGAACGTGCAGTATTTTGTACTGTCCTCATGAAGCTTGAGTTGCCAAAATCCTTGAGACGCATCTAGTTGGCTAAAAAAGTTTGCACCAGCCATTTCACTTGTTATTTCTTCTCTTGTAGGTATCTGGTAATGCTCTCTTTGTATGTTAGCATTTAAGTCTTTCGGATCCATGCAGACTCTAAGAGCGCCGGTTAGTTTTTTAATGCACACCATGGAGTTAACCCATTCAGTAGGTTCTTCAACTTTTCTTATAACTTCCAGTGCCTCCATCCGCTCTAGTCCCTTTTTAAGCTTGTCTTTAAGAGCAGCTGGAACACGTCGAGGTGCATGAACCACAGGCTGAGCTCCTTCTTTCAGCTTTATCTTGTAGGTGAAGGGTAAGACTCCAAACCCCTTGAATATGTCTGGGTACAGATCCACTATTTCTTTCACACTTTTGGGCTCAGAGCTGTTTATACTGTATACCTGTCTGACTAGGCCGAGTCTCTCACATGCTTTATCTCCCAACAGAGATTCGCACAATGATAAACATCAGACTGTGATATTTTCCTTTTACTTGTACCCTAAGCCTGCATTTACCTTTGGTTTTGATTGGTTCTCCATTATATGCTTGGAGTAAACTGTTATTTTGGAATATGTGTGGTTTCGTTTTCATTGCTTTCACATCCAGCTCATTCACCAGATTAGCCTTGGCTCCTGTGTCCAGTTTGAAAATTACCAGGGCTCCATTCACTGGTAACATCTCTGTCCATTTGTCCTGATTCACTGTACTGACTGCAGGTTGGTCCATGGGTGTATCGCGCTGCATTACCATTCCCACAAAAAACGTGTCACTGAGAGCAGTTTCTTCTACTGTGTGTACTCTTTCTTTTTGCTTATTCTTTGAAAAACATTGCTTGGCAAAATGGTTGTGTCCATTGCATTTTTTGCATATTTTACCATAAGCTGGGCATTGTTTCCTTCCATGTTTTGTGCCACATCTTTTGCACAAGAAAGTGTCTTTTGATTCTTTCTGTTCTTTTTTGTACGTACGCCCTGCCTGCCTTGTATTAACTGAAGCTACAGCTGTGCTTTCCGTGTCTGTTTCCCTCGGCGACCCGCTGAAGGTTTTTGCATGTTGTATTGCGAGCTCGCTGGCATGACATACTTTCACAGCACTTGCTAGAGTCAGATCCGCCTCTCTCAGAAGCCTCTCTCTTATCTTTGTATCTTTTATTCCAAATACGATCTGATCTCTTATCATAGATTCTTGCAGCTGTCCAAAATTGCATGTTCTTGCCTTTAACTTGAGGTCGGTCAGAAACATATCAAAACTCTCTGAAGGTTGTTGTATACGTGACCGAAAGACGTACCTCTCAAATGTTTCATTCTTTTTGGGCGAACAGTGTTCATCAAACTTTCTCACTACTTCGTCAAACTTTTCTTTCTCTTCTGCAGTTGCGAACACAAACGTGTTATATACTTCCACCGCTTGTGGACCTGCTACGGTATCAGGCTTACTATCTAGGCCGAGAGCTTGCAGGTATAGCATAAACCGCTGTTTAAAAGTTCGCCACTCACAGTCCACATTTCCGTTCCAGTTGACGGCATCTGGCGGCTTAACACTGTCCATGATGACCTGCTTTACTGGTTCACTCCTGGTACCATGTCGTGCTTTTAATAAAACATCAGTAGTAGTGAGCAAGCTTCTTTATTTTAACGTGGCTCACATCCATACATGTAAAACATAACCTGCCGCTGCTTCTACGACACAGTATATATCACAATTTGGTTAGACAGCCCCCTAGTGGTGAAGCTGAACTAACCCACATAACTCCTATCAACACATATAGAAAATCCTGAGGATCACTGGAGAGACCCTGAACTTCCTCAGTTGTCGTAGGTAATACAGGTGCTGCCTAGCCTTTTTGGTCTGGACCTGAATGTGGGCAGACCATGTCAGGTTTGAGGAGATGTGGACACTGGGATACTTGAAGGACTGCACCCTCTCCACTGGAGCTCCATTGATGATAATGGGCTTGTAGTCTCTGTGCTGACTCCTTCTGAAGTCCACCACCAGCTCCTTGGTCTTGCCAACGTTCAGTTGGAGGTGGTTGTCCCGGCACCATGATACCAGGTTCTTGGGCACAGGGATGATGGTGGATCTTTTGAAGCATGTGGGGACCACAGACTTCGCCAGGGACTTGTTGAAGATGGAAGTGAACACACCTGCTAACTGGTCAGCACAGCAGCGCAGCATACGGCCGATGATGCAGTTTGGCCCCGCCGCTTTCCTTGTGTTCACTCTCCTCAGTGCCACTCGGACGTCATGCTCCGCGATGCTGATCACCGGTCTCTCACTGATGACGTCACTGTCCTCAGTGGTCGGGCAGTAGTTAGCATTAGCCGCCTGGCTAACCTCGAAGCGGGCGTAGAACTGGTTCAGCTCGTTGGTGAAGGCAGAGTCGGCATTGGTCGGCGCAGTGTCCCTGGCTTTGTAGTCCGTAATGGTGCTTGGTCCATTAACTGCAGCAGGAGTTCAGTGTTCATGACAAGCTGATCACACAGACCACCTCAAATCCAACCTGAACAAGTTCCATATAACAGCTGATCTGCTATTTTAACGTTTTAAATAAATACAGCCATTCTGGAGTTTGTTACTGGGATGTGAGACATTCAGGGAACATCTGTGAATTGTAGTTGAAAGGTGAAATGGGCTCTCTGTCTAACTTATCCCACAGATTTAGAGGTTAATCGACTGCATGTTTCTTTAGACTGGGAAACTTGGGGCTTTGTGGCTCATTGGTCTAGGAGTATGATTCTTAGTGATACTAGTCAGAGGAGAAGGACAGTACTTGATGTCTGATGCCTGAAGTTGTTGCTACAACTGAATTAACAGTAAATATTTAAGCTGTTGGCAGTGAGGGCTCATCAAACACATCAATCCACATTGAGTCTATTCCATTTCATGTGACTGTTGTGGGTTTCTGTGTATAATTGTAGGGTCTTTACCTTACAATACAAAGTGCCTTGATGCCCCTGTTGTTGTGATTTGGTGCCATATAAAAAAATGAATTGAATTGAATTAATTTCACATCACTGAGCAGAGATGATTACACACTTAAAGTTCAGAGATGAATTAAATATTTCTACTTCATTTGACGTTTGATGTTAGATCAGAGTGTTGGGTCAAAACATAAAACCCTGCTGGAATCAGACCGCGAGAGACTACAAACAGAACATCAGCCAAACTGGGGGCGATCTTCAACTGGCAGGGAGGTCGTTTCATCCTTGCAGGAGTTCACTCTGCAGTTGGGGGAGAGACATAGGAGAGGTGGAGAATAAACTTAACCTGGGTGTCTATTGTTTTGTGTAGTCTGGGAGATGATTGAATGATCTGGGAGATTTTTTTCTTTCCAAGAGCCTTTCTCAGTGTTCCTCTTCCCCTCTGTTTGTCTTTTCCTTCATCTTTCTTTCTCCCTTTCCTATCTCCCAGCCATGTCTGTCCCTTCTGTAAAAATTGAAAATAAAATAAAATAAAAATAAATAATAACAACAGAGGTCAATCAAATGGACCAATACGGCAAAGCCGTGATGATCCACTTGGTAAAGTAAATCCGTTGGGCATCTTTGTTGGCCTTCAGACAGCAATTCTCATGGCTAAAGAACCAAACGGGACAGGCAAAAAAACAACAACAAACAAACAAACAAAAAACAATCTGGCAGAAACAGCAGCTAAAAGAAACTACATAACAGAAATGAAATTTAGTGAGTGGGTCTCTAAAGTGGAAGTACTGTTGAGCTGGTTCATTCCAGTGACCTTCAACAGGGTGTTATCTTCAGTTCATTCTGCCATCAGACTTTCTTGGGACCCAAGTTATTATACTTAACTGATATGCTTACTGAAATTTTTTTTTAGTATCTGAGAGCTGCTGTATTAATGTATTAATGACTCCAGGGGCAGATTTACACCAAAACCCAAACTTTATTTTGTCAGCAAGAGAAAACAAAGTCCATGGATACAAACAGAACTCACATTGGGCATGAAAACAATAACAGTGGAAGACAAAAGGATGTCAGGACAAAGGACTATAGATACACAGAAGTTGATTAGAACAATGGGGGACAGGTGAGTAACAAACAGGTGCAACAAATCAAAGACAGACACTGAAGAATGAAACTAGTTTGAACCACACCCAGCAGAATGATGTATGACATGTGTATCACTAAGGATTATCACAGCAAATTTGTCACAAACACATGAAATTCACAACTAACCACTTTTGATTAGGTAAAAGTAAACGTATGAATAAAAATACTAGGACAGAAATAGAATCAAAATTTTAGAACAACAGAGGTAAACATATTTAAGATCTATTGCCTTTCATTCAGTTTTGTTGTCTCTGAACACTCCAGCCCTCACTCCTTCTCCTCTGTCTTCAGCCAACAGTAGCATATTTTACAGCTGCACCCTGCTGCTTCTTAATAGTGTAAAGTGTAGAAGTAAATTTAAATCTAATTTGGTATACAAAGAAGTGTTTGCAAGGGTTATAAAACTAGTTATGTAGCTATTTGGTGGTTACTTGTTTTGATATTTACATGTTTACACGTTTGAATGTTTAGACATGCATGTTCAAACCAGTAATAAGTATGTGTTATCTCTACCTGGTTGTTTTTCCTGTTTTGATCTGAGTATAAGATTTCCTGGCTTCTGAGAGGCCAGTGAAGTATTCATGAGGGCGGTACACAGGAAGTGTTGTTGTTGCTGTGTGCTGAGAGTAAAGAGGCTGCTAAAAAGTTATCCGTCTCCATCTTGCTGTTCCTAATTATTCAGAGAGATTCCAAACCATCTAGTGAACCCTCACGTTACAATAGCAACAACTTTATGTTGATGCCATTGCTGACACACCCTCGACATTTATCTGGGACATTAACCTTGGGACTCAAACTATGAGCATACAGGTTTCTGCCTCCCTAAATGAAAATTGGCATCAGAAGAGTCTTAAATTCTTCATTTCCATGTCACCATATTTGGCTTGTCTTTCTCTTAATAAAGGAAAGAAAATGTGTACCAAAGGTTCAAGTCTGACCAGGCAGCCATGGCAACGCGCACAGGCAAATATTTTCTCTATCCCATATCACACAGGCAAATCTATCCTCCGGTGCAGGGTAGGGATCTCCAGGCCTCGAGAGCCAGTGTCCTGCAGGTTTTAGATCTCACCATGGGTCAACACACCTGAATCAAATGATTAGTTCATTACAAGGCCTCTGGGGAACTTCAAGAAATGTTATCAGCTATTTAAATTAGCTGTGATGGCTCAAGGACACATCTAAAACCTGCAGGTCATTCCATATCCCTGCTCCAGTGTTTGTAGTTGAAAACCATGGCCTAGCGGTTTGGCCTGCATTTTCAAATAATGGAAAAATAACATTTATTTATGAATTAAAGACATAAAAATTTAACATTTACTGTGTATAGGAACTGAAGATTGAAACCAATTCAAAACCATACTAATCAAAATATTAGAAAAACACTTTGCCTAGTAATGTGACACTTTAAAATGATAATAAATGATGATAATGAGTTTAGAGGATTACATGTGTGTTAGAAATGTGCTAATCTTTTTCTAAAAGCGATTAAAATGTTCTGTTTCAGGGTTTGTGAGAGTTCTTCCTGCTTCTACAGCTAGTTCACCAAGAGCCTCAGCTGTGTTCATAACTGCCTCCTTTATTGAATCTGCTTCATCAGCTTCACGATATCCTACATAACCCCCACCTATTGCTCCTGCAGTAGCAGCAATGCCTGCAACCGTACCCAATCCAACACCAGTTTTTGGAAGATTTCCCTGTGTTGCCCCTAGTGCCACTCCTGCCACTCCAGTGCTTGCTGGTATTCTTACTGGCATTGTTAAAGTCTCCAGTATTGTAAGAACTTTTGCAATCATCATTGGCACACCAAGCAGTGCTCCCAACAACATCCCTGTGGTAACACCAGAAGCCATCTTGAGAGCATTGTAGACTCTCTTCTTTGCCTCCTCTCTGATTTCTTCCCATGGCATGTCTCCTGAAGATGATGATCTAATTCTCTCTTGCTGTTGTTGTATTGCCTTCTCCACTTCTTGCAGCATCTCATTTGTGTAACAGCCTCCACCATTGTTCCTCACCATCTCTGTTATTGTGTTGAGCAGCTTTTCCCTCTGCAGTTGGTTGTTTCTGTATTCATCCTGTGGGTTGTTGTTCCAGTGTTTGTTATCAAAGACATGGCAGCGCCCACCACATCTCACTAACAACTTAAGTAGACGTTTGTTGCCCCTGCAAAACTCTTCAATCTGCATTCCTTCAAGCTGGTCACCATGAGTGAAGACAAGCACAGCATATCTGAAAGCTTCTTCAGAAAAAGACTTTATGATTTTGGTAATAACCTCATTCTCTTGATCTGTGTATCTCTCCACTTTCAGTAAAATAAGAAAAGCGTGAGGTCCAGGAGAACACTCTACAACACTCCTTGTAATCTCATTCCTCAGATCCTCTTCAGACGTGCGATTGTCAAAGAAACCAGGAGTGTCAATTATAGAGACAGATGTTCCATTCACCACGCTGGTAGCTTCTCTACACTGACTTGTTTCAGAGTTTGCAGCATGACCTATCTCAAACACCGTCTCTCCAAATATGGTGTTGGCCAAGCTGCTTTTCCCACTTCCAGTTTTTCCCAGCAGGACAATCCTCAGGGGATCTGTAAATAAGAGAAATATTACTTCCTGATTTTTTTTTCCATACTTGGCATACTTCTGTTTCAAATCATGAAACAAATTTTAATATTAGACAACAACCCCTGACAAATATTAATAATATTATTCATGTATCAAGGAGGAAATCAGCATTTTTAAAATTGGATTTCTTTAGCTACTGTTTTTTTTTATTATTTTATTTATAACTCTTTTTTTTACATATCTTTTGAGCTGATAAAATGATGGATTATAATCTATTGCACTACCCAAGAGTACATAAAATTATAAAACTCGTTTTCCTCATCAACCACCTACAACTCTAACATGTGAAAGATAAAATAAAGGAGGATACATTTCTGTATGTTTCTACTTAACAATGATAGTTTAGCAAAGACTTCCTTGAAAAATAAGAAAACATAATTCACCGTCCATGATCAAAAAGGAAGTTAATGTAATGTCACAAGAATTCAGGTTGACATCAGAATGTCAGATTTCTTTGCCAGCTGACTTGACTTTAGTATGAAAGTAATTTTTTTCTCTTCTTATTTGGCAGCATTCCCAGGATTTTTGTTTTTCAAAATGTTAGTTTGTATAGAGCAAAATTTTCTCTTTATGTTTCTCTTTTCACTGCAAGGCAGCATGAAAACACTTGGTAATTACTTCCCAAACAAACCCCTGTTCATCAGAAAGCAGACATGTCTGTAGACACCTTTCATCTTGGAATACTTTGCTGGATAAATTGAGAAGAGACCATATAACTCTGGGAATGTGTGTGTGTGTGTGTGTGTGTGCGTGTGTGTGTGCGTGTGTCTTAATGAATGTGTCAGAGAGCAGATAGAATGAATTTTTTAGGATTTAAGACTTGTATTTGATGAAAAGAAATCTCTTTTTATGCCGTGTTACACAGTGTCTTATCTAAAAGACAAAAACATGACAGAAATAATGATCTAAATAAGTGAAACTGGAAAGAACTTCCTGGTATTTGTGTAGGCGTTTTCTAGTCTTACTCAAAGACCACTCAAAGTGGTTTTAATATGTAACACCATAGAGTTGTCTTAATCATATATATTTATTGTCTGTAATATTCTGAATAATTATAATTGAGCAATTTCTTCATATTCGAGCTAAAAGTTAAAGTTTGTAAGACACCATGTGTCTGGACTGTGTGAGGAAGCTGTAGTAACTGGGGGAAACCCATTCAGGTCCAAGGAGAACATGTAAAAGCCATAAAAAGATCACTGCCAGGATTCAAACCAGAAACCTTCTCGCTGTGTCAACTATTAAAGATCCAGGCACCGTCTCCAACCAAGTGTTGTAGATTTGGTGGGTGGAGATTAAACTGCTGGTGATTAGAGAAGCAAAAGTAGACATGTACAAGCTGCAAAAACAACAAGGAGGACATATACTTTATTGCAGCAATGAAACGACTGTTTCACAGGAGTTTACTTCCTGGTTCAGAGAGCTAAATGTCTGTTAGTGAAGAAAACAAGTGCTGAGTGGGATGACTAAGAAAACACCTTCATCACTTCATTCCTTTCAGCAGGTTTACTGTAAACAGTGTTCAAATCTTATTTTACTTGTTCTTGTGTCATCAAGAAACTGTTGATGATATTGATTTAAAAGAAATTCTTTTACTGAAAAAAAATTTTTAATTTTCTTTTCCTATATTCTGACTCTGGGTTTTAATCACAGAAAAAAGAAATTAAAGTCTGTGTTATTTTTTTTTTTTTAGCCAACGTTTGAAAGTGCTTAGAAAACCATCAAATGAGAAATTGTTAGCTTAAGAGAGGAAATTATTATTATTATTATTATTATTATTATTATTATTATTATTATTATTAACCTTTATATAAAATGGATGTTATAAATTAGTCTTTTAAATGTACTCACCTTGACGAGTGGCCATTTCTCTCTTTTATGGGCAGTTGATGTGTGATTTTCTGTCTCTGCTGATGTTCTGCTGTACAGCAGTTTCCTGTTTATTGCTCTGCGGTGTTTGAACATGTGAGAACGTGTTTTAGAACAGATGACTTAGTTATGTGAAGTTCTCACATACGAACTGCTCTATTTGAATAACTCAATACATGAAACGCAGCTTAACAGGCTTCCATATATACCACATATTCCTCAAACACTATTATAAAAACTTTGTTTTTAGATATTCTGGCTCGCCGCATAAATCCAAGTCGCTTGTGCATGAGACAAAGAGCCGACTGTAAAATAATTACTGTCCATACACTTCGTGAAACGGGCAGAAGGAAATCCGAACGAAAGAAAGTCAAAGCAACACGTCTGTAATTTAGCGCAGAGAAGCAGTAGCGGTCCCGCTGTCAGCTATCAGCCGCCCACCCAGGCCAGACTGTCTGTAATGTATCGTGAAATTAGCATTTGCAAAAGACGATTATGACAGGAGTAATACTAAGATCTTAACAAGTCAAAGTTACACACCGATCAAACGGCGCCGCCCGATTCTCAAACAAAGTGCTCCAACCTATAAACACACCTGTTTACTACAAGGTAAAATAATTAAACGTATGACACAAAATAAAAACATACCAGCAATCGATGGAGAGAAGACTTCAAACGATCCGCAGGTGATCTCTGCAAAAACACGAGAAGCACGAATCGACAAAAAAATATGGCCAATTCAGACAACAGGGACATGTACGTGACTCTTACCTGTGACAGCTGGGGAGGTCAGGAGTCCGGAAACCCGGATACATACCGGAACAGGTGAGTAAGCCAATGTTGCTCAGATTGCTGCAACTAGCACTATATAATGTGATTGGCCACTAACCAGTAATTAACAATCCAATATTGAAATTTCATATTAATTCCACTACATAATTACATTCATTACAATATGACACATAATCGATAACCTATTGAGAACAAATAAGACTATTATAACAAAGCCAAAGCCGCTTAGCCTTTACTAATGTCCCTTTTTTTAATGTAACTTTATATATTTTTAGTTAAAGTGGCAATCTTTACACATAATAATAAAAGCAATTATTATTTAGATTAAAACTTAATGTAAAGAGAGTCAGTACTCCACCATGTCTGTATCTAAACAAAAAGTAGTTAACTAAATCAAAGAACAATTGACATTGAATAGTTTATAAAATAAAGAATATATCTGTATAAAACAATTGAATGTCAAATACAATCCATCATCATTCTGTACCCACACATAAATTATTTTAAATGTATGACCTTCACTTTGAAGCGTTCTTGAATTCATCCATGTTGTTAAAACAATTTCAATCATAGAAGCTTGGCAAAATAAAGCAACTGGACTTCTCCAGGAGACTTCTTTAGCTCCAATAATTAAATAACAACTCCAGCTGCTTGCTGTCCAAGTTTCTTAGTCTACCATGAGCTGGACGACTGAGGACGTACACAGACTTGTCCGATCATTATTGCCATTACTACCCAAACCTTCAGTGCTTTAAACACTTTGACTAAAGACCATCCCAGAGAAACATCAAGTGTAATCTCAGTTACATGATGAATATAGTTATGAATTTCTGTACTTGCATTTCCAGGCATGTCCACAATGAGTGTAACATTGTGGACATGCCTTGCTCAACGCGAATATAGTTTTTGTGTGTGTCACACCTTACATGTAAGTATGGTTTTGATTTCTTCTGGTTGTGTGGTAGGATGTTATCATTAACTGCTGTGTGTAAAGAACTTTTGTAGGTGGCAAAACACACTGGCACAGTAAGACTAGTAAATTATTTGAGTGAAAGGTGGTGTTAAATGAAAATATATCTATCGAAACAGCTCACAGTGGGAAGAAAAAATAAAACAAAACAACCAAAAACTGAAAGTCGCCGTGTGGACAGGAATAAGAATAATTGAATAGAATAATCCTTTAATTGTCCCACAAGGGGAAAATTGGGTGTAACACCAGCGAGAAAGACACAAACAAACAGTACACAAGACACAGAACAGAAACATACACAATTTTTACATATTTAATAAAGTTAAACAGGAACCAAAACACAGAGCTGCTAAACTGGAACTCACTTTAAGTGACATCATCTGCTAAAAACAGGAATCAAAAAACAATAAAGGAGATAATTTACAAACAGCAGAATTAGGCCTACAGTCAGACAAGTGTTAAAAGTGTAACTGTAATCTTTTTTTTTCTTCTAGTTCCAAACACAACGAGGATCGTCCTGCTGGGGAAAACTGGAGCTGGGAAGAGCAGCCTC